TCCTGTATTGGCAGGTGGATTCTTTACCACAGAGCCACCAGGGAAGACCCTGAGTGTTTTTTTAAGTTCCTGTTTCCCTCTTTATAAGATAAGTAAATTTTGTGTTGTAATGAATTGCAGTAATAGGAGGTCATTACTGGCTTTTGAGAAACCTAAGTAGCAAGTGAATTTGAAATGACACTTTGCAGGCCAAGAAAATTTTTTAGACTAGTATGATGTGTTCCTAATGAATTTAGTGGGAATGTTTTCAAAGGGATTTATGGATCTCTAGATTTCTGAGCCATCACTCAAGCAAAGCCTCTGATAAATTGATCAGTATTTTAAATGAGGTAGCTAAATTAGATTTTGATGTTTTGTTCTGGGACTTTACCTTAAATAGGCTTTTTAGGAAAGGTGCCTTATTTCTTCAAAATAGTATTGTTATCAGACTTGACTTTTTGGAGTTTAAAAATATAAATTAGCAAAAGCATTCTATCATTTAATTGATAAGGATTTAATGGAAAGTGTTCCAGACAGAAGAGATTTTTTAATATTTATTTTATTTTAAAAAGTAAATATTATTTTGTGGGGTCTTTAGTTTTAGTATATGGGATCTAATTTCCTGACCAGGGATTGAATTTGGGCCCCCTCACTGGACCACCAGGAAGTCCCAAGATGAAAATTTAAGTTCATTTATAATCTCCTAGGGAGTAAAACTTGGGGGCTGTATATGTGTGTATAGTTTCAGCTTCCCTTTCTCTCTAATGAGAGTGAGGCATCTGGAAGGTCTGTAAAAGAAATTGTGAAATCTGGAAGGTCTGTAAAAGATGATGCTTATCTGCAGAGTGGCTTTCCCATAGCCCGGGTCCGTAATTCATCTGTTCTGAGTTTTGACTATATAACCTCAACCTTTCAATTCCTGAACTTCATTCTTATCATGTTTGTTGTTGCTTAAGCTATAGGATTTTCCCCCTATGATTCAGTTTAGTCGCTCAGTCCTGTCCAACTGTTTGCGACCCCATGGACTGCAGCACACCAGGCTTCCCTGTCTATCACCAGCTCCTGAAGCTTGCTCAAACCCATGTCCATTGAGTCGGTGATTCCATCCAACCATCTCATCGTCTGTTGTCCCCTTCTCCTTCTGCCTTCAATCTTTCCCAGCATCAGGGTCTTTTCCAGTGAATCAGTTCTTTGCATCAGGTGGCCAAAGTATTGGAGTTTCAGCTTCAGCATCAGTCCTTCCATTGAATATTCAGGACTGATTTCCTTTAGGATGGACTGGTTTGATCTCCTTGCAGTCCAAGGGACTGGCAAGAGTCTTCTCCAGCACCACAGCTCAAAAGCATATATTCTTCAGTGCTCAGCTTTCTTTATGGTTCAACTGTCACACATCCACACATGACTACTGGAAAACCCATAGCTTTGACTAGATGACTTCGTTGGCAAACTCTGCCTTTTAAGATGCTGTCTAGGTTGGTCATAGCTTTTCTTCCAAGGAGCAAGTGTCTTTTAATGTCATGGCTATAGTCACCATCTGCAGTGATTTTGGAGCCCAAGAAAATAGAAGTCTCTCGTGGTTGCCATCGTTTCCCCATCTATTTGCCATGAAATGATGAGACCGGATGCCATGATCTTTGTTTTGTGAATGTTGAGTTTTAAGCCAGCCTTTTCACTCTCCTCTTCAACTTTCATCAAGAGGCTCTTTATTTCCTCTCCGCTTTCTGCCGTAAGGGTGGTGTCACCCTTATGATTACCCTCATCGAATTGAAAAACCTGTTTTTCAGCTGTAGTGTTCTGTAACTTGAAAAATGTGTGTTTCAGTTAGGTAGATATTTGGAACCCGCACCTTGTTCTTTCTACCGGCTATTTAAGCTCCCACCTAATAATTACCAAATACCTTGTCTTTTTTTGGTCTTTATTACTGTAGCTTTAAAACAAATTTTAGTATTTGGTACGGATAGTGTTTTCTTGTTTTTGCCTACCCTCATTTAAAAGTTGTCCTTTTGAATGCCTTCTTTTTTGTTATTAAAATACATTTGAATCAGTTCTAATGAGATGGATGAAACTGGAGCCCATTATACAGTGAAGTAAACCAGAAAGATAACACCAATGTAGTATACTAACGCATATATATGGAATTTAGAAAGATGGTAATGATAACCCTATATGCAGGACAGAAAAAGAGACCCAGATGTATAGAACAGACTTTTGGACTCTGGGAGAAGGTGAGGGTGGAATGATCTGAGAGAATAGCATTGAAACATGTATATTATCAAGTGTGAAACAGATCGCCAGTCCAGGTTGGATGCATGAGACAAGTGCTCAGGGCTGGTGCACTGGGAAGACCCAGAGGGATGGGATGGGGAGGGAGGTGGGAGGGGGGTTCAGGATGGGGAACACATGGGAACCCATGGCTGATTCATATCAATGTATGGCAAAAACCACTACAATATTGTAAAGTAATTAGTCTCCAACTAATAAAAATAAATGGAAAAAAAAAAAGTTCAACTTCTTAGTCCCTCAACAGAATTACAGTCCTTAGTGTTTTAGTGGAATTCCATTTAAGTGTATATTGACAAATTTAAAATATCAAGATGTAAAAATGAGATGTGGTTTGCATTTTCCTAAATATTCTAATTATATTCATTAGTTAAGTTTCATACATGTCGGCATATAGGTTGTGTGCAGTATTTGTGTTGTTGAGGTTATTTCTAGGACTTTGCTCTTGTTAGTAGACTATTTTTTTGTCTGTTTTATTTTTCAGCTGTTTATTTTTAGCTAGAAAGGAAAATTAATTTTGGTTACCTTGGGCCCTTACTGAATCTTTGAGTTGTCTGTTAAATTTTTATTTTAGGTTATTCTGTTTTGAATTGCTTTTGAAAAAGACAGATCTTCAGTTAGTGCAAGTGCTCAGATATTCCTCTTATTCCCTTTATCCTTCTGTTACTCCTAGTTTGCATACAATTTTTGGCATTCCTGAGTTTTTACTGTATAATGCTTTTTTTTTTTGTCAGGGATGGCTTTCTAAAAGGTTTTGATTATACGTTAAATATGTTAAAGTGCCTTGTTACTTATCCATGATTATTTTAAATTGTAGTTAAGAGATTCAACTGTAAATGTATACCTGGCTGTATGAAAGAACAATTTAAGGGACCATTTTATGATGGCTTGGAAACTTCTGCGTTTGTATATGCATGAAGAGAAGAAAAGGAAACGTCAGATATTCTGAGAAATAGGGTTGTGGGCCAGATGAGTATGACTAGGAAGAGAGACCAAATCTCCAAAGGTTGAACTAACAAGGAAGAGAGAAATTATGGAGACTTGGTCCTAAAGTCGTGTGCAGGAAAGTGTTGCCATTGTTATTTGGCATCTCCTGACTCTCATTTTGGCGGAGGCCTGACCCTGCCATCCCTTTGAGTGGGAAACACCGTCATTCTTGTGCATTGAGACGTGTTCACTGTGCTCTGTATCAGTGCGTCAGTTTATAGAGGTTTGGCCATTAGAAGGTCTTTATCCCAGGAATGTAGGGTTTGGGGATTAGAACGTGTCTTTTAATTGTTCACTACAGTCCAGATACACTTTACTTGGGTATCAAGTTTTTAATTTACTTAAACTCATACCTGAAAGAATACTAGCAATAAGAGTAGGTTCCAGAGTTACCTTTTTTCCTTTAAGTGTTAAAAATGTGTGCATTCAAAGCTGATGCTGGTGTTTGTGGTGTATGTAAAGTAGGAGTGTGGAGAGGTATAAGCACTGATTTTTAGATAGGAGAAGATTTTTATTATAACAGTACAATTTTCCAATGATTTGGAGCTCTAGTTGAACTTACCCAGTATACAAATTATATAGAAATGATAAAGATTAATGGAACATCTCAAACTCTTTTATTTTTGTTTGTTAAGTACTAGAAAACATTAGTGAAAGTTTGGGTAATCTCCTATGGAAAGATATGTCTTACTCTAATATTCGTGAACTTGGTTAGTTCTCAGTTTATGAAAATATTCCTTACCATACAAATGGCAAGAGTATAATAGAGATTTGCTGGTGACCAAAATGATTGCTGATAGTAGATGTGCAGATGAGCTAGCAGAAGTAGAGGCTGGCCAAGAAGTCATTGTTGTAGCGTGATTAGAAAAATCACAGCTTGAACTGAATGGCAACTCTAGCTTTGAGAGGAGAACAGTCTTCAGAATTGCAAGTCAGGTGCTACTACTGTACTCTTGAAAGTATCTTTGAGTTTTAGGCCTTGCATGAAGATACATGCATTGAAATGCCCCATAGCACGCAGTTAAATCGATCACAGGCATTTGGAGCTGAAGAGCGATCCAGGTCAAATTACGGAATCATACAATTGACTAGCAAATGTGGGAGGAGGGCATTGAGAGACTAGATACATGACTCCATTTTTTGTGATTGGTCATCCTGCATTATTAAAGTAAAGTGATTTTATTTTCAGCCTCATCTGTTACCTTCTCCTCTCAAGTCTTTAGTTCCAAAGATTTTCCAGGGTGGTAGTGCTGATCTATTTGCTTTTGGTTTTTCCAGTCAGTTTGTTTCTTAGTCTTTAGTTTGCTAATTTGCTTAAAATAATACCTGACACATAGTGTTTAAGTATTTTGGAAATTGATGAGGACATGTTTTAAACAAGTACTGCAAGTTTGTGTGTGTATTTATTTAGCTAGTTTATACTGTATATTATGGAGGTTAGTGTGATATTTTAGAAAAGAATTTAAGTGCCTAGTGGTTCAGAGTATGTGAGCATTTGGCAAAGGTTGAGAATATTGCAATTTTGATAGACAGTAATACAGTGTCATTTAATATCCGTTGTAATCATGAAAGGTTAATTTGCAGGGTCAACACAGCTCATAAATGATGGAGATGGAAAGCAAAACCTGATCAGCCTATTCCAAGCTCTGGGTTGTTATCAGTATTCCATATTGTCTTTGTATCTCTAATATAGTGGTTTAGAGTTAATGTAACATTTAATTGAATATTCATTTCTTTTTAATTTTTTTTAACAGGGGTTTATCAAAGATGTTCATGAAGACTCCCTCACAGTTGTTTTTGAGAACAAGTAAGTTATTTTTTATTGATAGAGATCCTAATTTTGAAGATTGACAGTGCCAAACTGCTGCTTTTGGGTATTCCTCTTGTAATCGGAAAATGAATGTGCTTTTGGGTGGGGGGTTCTTTGCTTTGATTATCTTTTTGAGTTAAAATAATTTTTAGTTTTTGATGACTTCACCTGGTTTTCTACTCACCATTCACTTGTCACTTTTTCTATGACTCCTTTCTTTGCCAATCACATGTGAACATGAATCAGTTTTTGCAAAACTGGATGGCATGAATGTAATTATAACATGCATACTTCTTAAAACCCAGAATTTTTAAATGATACTGTACAAGGCCTTCCAAATGTCCTTTTAATAGAATAAATATATTAGGCTGCCTTTAATTGCTTGATTAGTCTTAAGGAATAATAAAGTTTTATAGATATTGTAAAGGTTAGGTAAAGTTGTGCTAAAAATGTCAAAGATGTGTGCTGAGCTTGGTTAGGAAGGATTATAAAGAAGCACTATATAATTGAAGGTCAGAAAAGAACTGGGCAGCTTTCCCTTTTAAGCTGTTTCTGGAACTGCCTGAAGAGCTATGGGCGGCCCAACAGCTGTTTCATGTAGAAACAAGTGTTGAGATGATTCCTGTCTTTGAGCACCTATTATTTAGACAGTAAAGATGGAAAGAAAGCACTCCAATCTTTTCCTTGTCTGTTTTTTGCCCATCGTTAGCATATAGAAACCCATCAGTTCAGTTCAGTTGCTCAGTCGTGTCCAACTCTTAGAAGCCATAGGAATATATTATGTGCTGTTGTACCTCCCAGGCATATGAATGATTTATTAGAACCTAAAATAGGAAAGCATTTTAATTTTATCAACTTAGTTCTAAAATATAGCACACAAAAAGCACAGCTAAAGCAGTAGTTTTAATACATTTGTATTTACTACAAAGATTAAAATAAATTTTTTCTAGGTTTTAATTATCTGTGTTCATTGTAGAAAAGAAATTGTAAGAAAAGTAAATCTTTTTGTAATTTACTGTTCAGAATAATATTGACTACTTTTCTATATTTCTGTGAACATGTACACTAAAAAGAATTACGCAGTTTATATTTTATAATCTTTGGAATTGTGTTCCTTAGGCAGGTCATTTAGTTGTAAAAATGTTTGTAGTAAGTTGATCACAGTGTAGCAGTGTAGAATGACATTATTTTAAATCTGAGTCATTTAAGGCTATGAACTTAGCCTTTTTCATTTGCAGAATGATGTATGTGATGTCACCTTAGAATGAGTGACTAGGAAGGTAGTATGTAATTATTATCAATGATGTTAATTACCTATGAACTTCATCAAGAGCTTTGCAAAATCTGTTCTATCTCAACGGTCTGCTTGGAAAAAGTTTTCATGCAGAGGTTGTTTTTCTTTGGGGAAAGCTAAATGATTGATTTGAAAAATTGACAGTGCTAAGCATAGACTACATAGCTTCTATATTAAGGAGTGTTAGAATAGTATATATTAAAGCAGTTCATTTTCTAATCCTTCAGTTGGCAACCAGAACGCCAGGTTCCATTCAATGAAGTTAGATTACCACCACCACCTGATATAAAAAAAGAAATTAGTGAAGGAGATGAAGTAGAGGTATGTATTTATAAGTTTATTTTCTTGTGTACCTATTTTTTTGTTTGTTTCAAACAGATATTCTTGTAGGAAAATCTGTTAGCCGATAGAAAATAAGTCTAAATTCCTTTTTCTCTTCTTCCTATTGGTAATGTCTGTGTAATGTAGTAGTACTTGAGTTTTGGAGCCAGAACTGGGATTAATGTCTCAATGCTACTGTTTTTAGCTTTATAGCCCTGGTCAAGTTTGTTTTTTTAACCACTAGAATAAAAATAATTTGAGAATTAAAGATGATAGTGCATTTGAGTTGTTTTCCACAGAATCTGGTGGAGAGAACTATATGATGTTGGTCATTATTTTCCTTTTTTTTCTTTTTTTTGCAAGTTATTTCGTCAATGTTTTCCTCAGTATTTTTGTAAAATGTTAGTAGTTATCCTTTATTATAGTGATAATTAATATAGTTCATTTGTAACAATGTGAAATGTTGTAATAAGCATACTGCCTTTTTGAATATTCTAATATTCAGAAAGATTTAAAAGGGAAAAAAGCAAAATCACTTGCTAGAGATAAAATCCTATATTTCATGGTTTACATATTCCCAGGTTCTTCCTTTCCTCTCTTTTAAAAAATAAAAATTGTATTTCTTTGTATCTTGTTTTTTTCAGTTAGTAATTCCTGAATGTCTTCAGTATATATTTATTTTTGATTAATATGTCTGCTCTTATGTAACAAATTTTGAAATAATTGTGAAATAGAAGTATGAATTTGTTGGAGAGAGAAAATTTGATTTTTGATTTTTCAAGAAATTGATACCTCCAAGGAGCTCAAATATGCTAACTGTATTTCTCACAAACAGTTGTCTTGATAGTGCTGAAAGATAGATTTTCAAATGTTATTTGTGCCTAGTTTATGTAGGTTAGGGTGGAAGAACTGGGGACACAGGTTAGTCTTCAGTGATGAAACGGCTGTTTAAATAAATGTTTTAATAAACACTTAACATTATGTACTTTGTGCCACATATTGTTCTGAGTGCTTTGCATATGAACTAATTTAGTTACTTGCCACTTTTATGCTTCATAATTTTTTAAATGGTAAATTTTGTTTTGAGTTAATTGAAGATGTTATGTTAGGAAGTCAGATTGTAGGATTGTAACCCCTAACTCACATTCTAAAATTCTGCCTAGATTTTAATTACTTGATCTAAATAATTAGAGCAAATACTCTTCTGCTTCTCTGGAGTAGGAAATGGCAACCCACTCAAGTATTCTTGCTTGGAGAATCCCATGGCCAGAGGAGGCTGGCGGATTACTGCCCATGGGATTGCAAAGAGTTGGACACAGCTGAGTGACTAAGCATGCATTCTTCTGCTTTTACCAAAAGCAAAGCATATTATGGGCTTCCCTCAGTGGCTTAGATGGTAAAGAATCTTCCTGCAATGTGGAAGACCTGGGTTCGATCCCTGGGTCTGGAAGATCCCTAGAGAAGGAAATGGGCAACCCACTCTAGTATTCTTGCCTGGAAAATCCTGTGGACAGAGGAGCTTGGCAGGCTACAATCCATGGAGTTGGACATGATTGAACGACTAACACTTTTTTCAAAGCAGGTTATAACTTCGTTGTGTCAGGGTGCCACATGTGTGGCGATCAGTTCTGTGAGTAGTGCTTTTCATATTTTTAAAACTTATTGGTAGTGTAAAGGCTCAGGTTAAAGGGAAAACTTGGCGGAATGCTGAGGGTATTGTTGTTACTTTGTGCTTTCCTCAGTCTCGGAAGATCTTGTCCATTCACTGGACCATCTTTATGGCTTGGGCGCCCTACCTCCCAGCCAACTGTATACAAAACTTTATTGAATGGTTTGGAAATGAATGATTATAGAATGTTTTATTTCACTTTCTGTTCTATGGTTTGGTCTTGGGAAAATTTGTTCCTTAAAAATATGAGAATGGTGGTCTGGAATTAAGATGTTACTGTTACTTTAATTTTTTTGTGCTTTGAAATTTTTGAAAATTCATATAAGGAAAAGTTTGAAATTAATTTTGCCACCTGTTTGTTTATTTATTTTTAGTTTTTGCCACCATGAGTTTAGGAATTTATCCTTAGGATGTGAAATGTTTAAGAATTATGGTTATTGGTACTTTATATTTTGAACCAAATAACTATGTAAGCTCCACCTCTTTTACATTCAGAGTCACAAAGCTTCATATAAAAAGTGAAATGATACAGAATTCCCTAAGGTAACAAGTGAACTTCCCTCTTAGTGTAGGCATGTTGATGTGCTTACCTGCCCACCCCAGCTTAAATCTCATTTACCAAAGTTGAGTCTCTTCAGATTTTTTTCTTCGCATTTATAAAGAATATTATGTGTTTTTTTTAAGTTATAAAAATTGGGAATACACCTTATTTATAAATGTTTGTATTCAGTTAATTAATGTATCATAGACATTTTCCTGTCTGCACATACAAATTTAACCTTATTTTCCTCAGCACCCCATGGTATTGGGTGGTACAGATGTATTATAATTAGCATTGAAATTACTCAGTTTTTTTGCTTTTATTTCCCCCTCCCGCCCCCACCTCAAAGCCAGATTTAGTGTTCTTATGTAAATCATCATCTTATGGTAGTATTAAATCTTGGTGATTGATAGTACCAAAATGTACCATTTTGTCCTCCAGAAATGATTCTTGAATAACCACTTCATAAGTTTGCTAATGCTGAAGATGTTTGCTCCTCATAGATAGACTGGCTGGATTAATATTAATTTAATATGTAAGATTTCATAAACATGGTTGAAGGAAGCTGTTGTCTTTTATATTTTGTGAACCTTGAATGCTAGTGATACACAGTGTCTTTTAAATTAGTTTTATGGCTGTTAGCTGCTTGTTCTGTTTATTGTCTGTTTTTATTCTTGATCCATGTAGTTTTTTATGTCAAATATGTTTACATTTTTGGGTAAGCTTCTATCTGTTGTATATTGTGTTTTTTCCCAGGCAGTCTGTGCTTAGTGACTTTTGCCATTAAGAACTTATTTCTTCACTTATTCAGGTCTGCCAGTTTCCCCAGTGTGGCCTCCAAGATAACTCATTTTAGTAGTTCTACAGATGTGGCCCCTTTTTTTCTCTTTTTTTAAATAGCATTTAGGTGTGTGTTTTTTTTAACTTTTTATTTTGTACTGGAATATAACCGATGAACACTGCTGTGACAGTTTCAGGCGTCCAGCAGAGCAGCTCAGCCATGCATACACACGTGTCCATTCTCCCCCAAACTCCCCTTCCATCCAGACTGCCACGCAACATTGAGCAGAGTTCCCGTGCTGTACAGGAGGTTCTTGTTGGTTATCTGTTTTAAATATACCGGTGTATGCCTGTCCATCCCAAATCTGTAACTACCCCTTCCACCCATCTTCCTTTTCTAAGTCTGTGTTTCTGTTTTGTAAGTAAGCTCATTTGTATCATTTCTTTTGGCCACTGTTCTCTTTCTGCTAGTTGTCAGTACTATAGTAGCAGTGAAAACAGCTGGCACCGGGCTTCCTTGGTGTCTCAGTGGTAAAGAATCTTCCTGCTAATGCAGGAGATGTGAGTTCGATCCCTTGGTGGGGCAGAGCCCCTGGAAAAGGAAACAGCAACCTATTCCACTATTCTTGCCTGGGAACTCCTATGGACAGAGGAGCCTCTGGTGGACCACAGTACATGGGGTCTCAAAAGAGTTGGAAATGACTTAGTGACCAAACAACAGCAGCTGACACTAACCATGAAATACATAACTCACTGACTTTATAAACAGTTATCTCAGTTTGAAATAACAGTTTCTTGAGGACCTCTTCGAAATTCTATGAATACCTTTACTAACCTTTCCAAGTTTCCTATAGCCTGATGGTTAGGAAGTTGATAACCAGGTTGTTTTTGCCCTATATGTTATTCTCTCTAATATATCATGCTATATTCACAGGGTCTTGTCAGTTTTGTGCCAGATTACCGACTCTTATTCTTTTAGGGCTCTAGGAACCATTTCTTTTTGAAGAACGGAAAGATGACTTTGTTTGGCCATTATTAATTGACTTAGAACATAAATGATACAGGAGGGAGTTTTTCATTAGTTATTCAGGCATTTATCTAAAGTCTAGCTGTATGACAGAGACCTAAAAAGACATTTCTCCAAAAGACATACTGATGGGCAACATACATATTATTATTATTATTATGTAAGCTAATATTACTGTTGTTCAGTCACTAAGTTGTGTCTGACTCTTTGTGAACTTGTGGACTGCAGTACGCCAGGCTTCCCTGTCCTTCACTATCTTCCAGAGTTTGCTCAAACTCATGTCCATTGAGTTGGTCATGCCATCAAACCATTTCATCCTCTGTTGTCTTCTCCTGCCTTCAGTCTTTCCTATCATCAGGGTCTTCTCCAGTGAGTTGGCTCTCTGCATCAGGTGGCCAAAGTATTAGAGCTTCAACTTGAGCATCAGTCCTTCCAGTGAATATTCAGGGTTAATTTTCCTTAGGATTGACTGGGCTTGATCTGTTTGCTTTGTAAGGGGCACTCAAGAGTCTTCTCCAGCACCCCAATTTGAAAGACTCAATTCTTCAGTGCTCAGCCTTCAGTCCAGCTAGCATATCCGTATATGACTACTGGAAAAACCATAGCTTGACTATACTGACCTTTGTCTGCAAAGTGATGTCTCTGCTTTTTAATACACTGTCTAGGTTTGTCATAGCTTTTCTTTCAAGGAGCAAGCGTCTTAATTTCATGGCTGCTGTAACCATCTGCAGTGATTTTGGAGTCCAAGAAAATACAATGTGCCACTGTTTCTGCTTTTTCCCCATCTATTTGCCATTGAAGCCTTGGGACAAGATGCCATGATTTTAGTTTTTTTAATGTTGAGTTTTAAGCCAGCCTTTTCACTCTCTTCTTTCACCTCATCAAGAGGCTCTTTATTTCCTCTTCACTTTCTGCCATTAGAATGGTGTTGGTGGTTCAGTCACTAAGTCGTGTCCGACTCTTTGTGACCCCATGGACTGCAG